ATGAATTCCCACTGTCTGAAGTCCTAGACATAGAGATAATGGGAGGAGACTGTTACTAAAGGCTGCAGAGAAATGTGTCTTCAGTGCAGGGGGCATTGAGGCCATTTTTATGTAGTCCACAGGTGACTGTTTATGTATTCCACAGGCGACTCTGGACCTCTCATTATGCTCCTTCAGGAACAGGGGAAAGTCAGATACAACAGAACGCCATGTCTATTTCCCTATTCCCCTCACATCAAAACTGCGCATAGTACTGGCGTTACACTGCTACCAATCACAAGTTCGTGGCCATTTTTTCGTAGTCCAAAAAAAGGACAGTTCTTTCTGTGCAGGTTTGCCTACCAGAATCCTTTGCTTCCTGCTTTGGTCAGTGTTAGGTTGCTGTGCAGAGTCAGAAAAATGAGAAGCTCCTGCAAGAGGTAACATTTCCTGGTTGATCATATTTTTACTAAGTTATGTAGCATTTGACATTTTCCGCATGGATTTAGAGATCTGATATTATTTTTGTCATTATTACTAATACTTAAATGAATAGCATCACCAATCTCATTATTGATAGCGCAATCAACCTCACTCTTGCTGCTTTTGATTTTCACCTGTTTTCCTCTGAGCCCCGCTCGGGGGGAGTTTGCATATTCTGTACGTCAAGGTCCATGAACCCTACGGGCAGGTCATTGGGGAATATGAAAGGCTGATTGACGTTTTGTCGGGGATTGGAAATAAACACTATAGGTCTGGATGTAGGGAGGTATGGTAACGTAAGGTGCGCTGGACTCCCAGAGATCGTATCATGGCTGGAAGGAAGGCATCCTCCGTCCATTCCATTGGTGGATGAAGATGGGAATATGAGGATCCTTGTCAGAGAAGGCTGATTAACATTTTGTCAGGGATTGGAAAAAAAATACTATAGGTCTGGATGTAGGGAGGTATGGTAACGTAAGGTGCGCTGGACTCCCAGAGGTCATACAGTTGCAAGAAAAAGTATGTGAACCCCTTGGGATTACGTGGAGTTTTGCATGAATTGGGCATAAAATGTGCTCTGAACGTCATCTAAGTCACAACAATAGAAGAACACAGTCTGCTGAACATAATACTACACAAACATTAGATGTTGCCATAGTTTAATTGCACATAACATGTAAACATTCACAGTGCAGGGAGGAAAAAGTATGTGAACCTTTGGACTTAATAACTGGTTGACCCTCCTTTGGCAGCAATAACCTCAACCAAACGTTTCCTGTAGTTGCAGATCAGACCTGCACAACGATCTGGAGTAATTTTGGACCACTCCTCTTCACAAAACTGTATCAGTGTAGCAATATTCTTGGGATGTCTGGTGTGAATCGCTCTCTTAAGGTCATGCCACAGCATTTCAATCAGGTTGAGGTCAGGACTCTGACTGGGCCACTCCAGAAGGCTTATTCTGTGCTGTTGCAGCCATTGTTTTGTTGAATTACTTGTATGCTTTGGGTCATTGTCCTGTTGCATCACCCATCCTCTGCGGAGCTTCAGTTGGCGGACAGATGGTCGTACGTTTTCCTGCAAAATGTCTTGATAAACTCTGGAATTCATTTTCTCATCAATGACAACAATCCGTCCAGGCCCTGAGGCAGCAAAGCAGCCCCAAACCATGATGCTCCCTCTGCCATGTTTTACAGTGGGGATGAGGTTTTGATGTTGGTGTGCTGTGCCTTTTTTTCTCCACACATAGTGTTGTGTGTTCTTCCCAAACAACTCAATCTTGGTTTCATCTGTCCACAGTATATTTTGCCAGTAGTGCTGTGAAACATCCAGGTGCTCTTTTGCAAACTTCAAACGTGCTGCAATATTCTTTTTGGACAGCAATGGCTTCCTCTGTGGTGTCCTCCCATGTACTCCATTCTTGTTTAATGTTTTCCTTATTGTAGATGTGTCAACAAAAATGTAAGCATGTGCCAGAGATTTCTGTAGGTCTTTAGCTGACACTCTGGGATTCTTCTTTACCTCATGCAGCATTCTGCGCTGTGCTCTTGCAGTCATTTTTACAGGACGACCACGCCTAGGGAGCATAGCAACAGTGCTAAACATTCTCCATTTGTAGACAGTCTGTCTTACCGTGGACACATGAACATCAAGGCTTTTGGAGATACTTGTGTAACCCTTTCCAGCTTCATGCAAGTCAACAATTCTTGATCGTAGGTCTTCTGTGAGAGCTCTTTTCTGCGAGGCATGGTTCACATCAGACAGTGCTTCTTGAAACCAGTAAACCCAAAACAGGTGTGTGTTTTTTAAGGGCAGGACAGCTGTCCGCAACACATCCAATATCATCAAACTGATTGGAGTCAAGGTTGGCTCACTCCTGGCTCCAATTAGCTCTGGGAGAAGTCATTAAGCTAGGGCCTCACATACTTTTTCCTCCCTGCACTGTGAATGTTTACATGTTATGTGCAATTAAACCATGGCAACATCTAATGTTTGTGTAGTATTATGTTCAGCAGACTGTGTTCTTCTATTGTTGTGACTTAGATGACGTTCAGAAATTCTGAAGGACCCTCTGCACACTGGTATATACCCTTTCAAGCAAACTATGCAATAAATAGGGATATTTGGTTCACACATATTGCAATACATGCTTAAGCTGGCCAACTGCGTCAAAGTAATCCCTCTATGGCCAGTCCTACTCTGCCCTGCCTACGCAAGTGCTACTGTGGACACAATGCTAGCATAGGGGAAAAGACACAATGGGGAGAGTTACAAGGTTCAGGTCTGGCTACTGACCCAACAATACAACAAACAAGAGATCCCTGTGCTCAAATCCATACAGCTAGTGCATGCATTTATCCATCAGGTGCTAAAGGGGTGTAACCACATTAACTCTAGAAATTTTGAAGGACCCTCTGCACACTGGTATATACCCTTTCAAGCAACTCTGCCCTGCCTACGCAAGTGCTACTGTGGACACAATGCTAGAGTAGGACTGGCCATAGAGGGATTACTTTGACGCAGTTGGCCAGCTTAAGCATGTATTGCAATATGTGTCAACCAAATATCCCTATTTATTGCATAGTTTGCTTGAAAGGGTATATACCAGTGTGCAGAGGGTCCTTCAGAATTTCTAGAGTTAATGTGGTTACACCCCTTTAGCACCTGATGGATAAATGCATGCACTAGCTGTATGGATTTGAGCACAGGGATCTCTTGTTTGTTGTATTGTTGGGTCAGTAGCCAGACCTGAACCTTGTAGCTCTCCCCATTGTGTCTTTTCCCCTATGCTAGCATTGTGTCCACAGTAGCACTTGCGTAGGCAGGGCAGAGTAGGACTGGCCATAGAGGGATTACTTTGACGCAGTTGGCCAGCTTAAGCATGTATTGCAATATGTGTGAACCAAATATCCCTATTTATTGCATAGTTTGCTTGAAAGGGTATATACCAGTGTGCAGAGGGTCCTTCAGAATTTCTAGAGTTAATGTGGTTACACCCCTTTAGCACCTGATGGATAAATGCATGCACTAGCTGTATGGATTTGAGCACAGGGATCTCTTGTTTGTTAGATGACGTTCAGAGCACATTTTATGCCCAATTCATGCAAAACTCCACGTAATCCCAAGGGGTTCACATACTTTTTCTTGCAACTGTATAAAGGCTGGAAGGAAGGCATCCTCCATCCATTCCATTGGTGGATGTAGATGGGAATATGAAGATCCTTGTCAGAAAAGGCTGATTGCCATTTGTCGGGGATTGGAAATAAACACTATAGGTCTGGATGTAGGGAGGTATGGTAACGTAAGGTGCGCTGGACTCCCAGAGGTCGTATCAAGGCTGGAAGGAAGGCATCTTCCGTCCATTCCATTGGTGGATGTAGATGGGAATATGAGAATCCTTGTCAGAGATTTGTCATGTACAAAGTAGAAAGGAAGTTTCGGTGAACTAGGGAATGGTGGAAAGTCTTGTGAAATGGATACAATGGAAGGCGAGAAGTGTAAACCAGGTGAAAGGGAGATGGAACCCGTGTGATGTTATTAGATGTGGTCATGGTGGAAACCAAAAAAAGAAGAGCTCCATAATATTCCTCCAGATTAAAGGGGGCGGGTTGAGCTCCTTATGCCTAATGCTCATTCAGCTTTGTTATTGTTAATGTTTTATATTATTCTAGTGCCTTACAAAGCACATGACATCGTAGCACCACTTTCGTCTCATCAACTAACCCAATGAGGATGGACAGGAACCAGATAACCAAGAGGATATTCGACCTAACCCTGGAGATCGTCTACCTGCTGACCGGAGAGGTGAGGAGGATTCTGGGAGGTCACATGGCGTCACTCTCATCTCTATTAATAAAACATAGACTTGACCGGAGAGGTGAGGAGGATTCTGGGAGGTCACATGACATCACTCTCATCTCTATTAATAAAACACAGACCTGACCGGAGAGGTGAGGAGGATTCTGGAAGGTCACATGACATCACTCTTATTTCTATTAATAAACTATAGACCTGACCAGAGAGGTGAGGGGGATTTTGGGAGGTCACACTTACTAACATGATATTGTTGTCCCATTAATGTAGAGTTTCCCCGATGTGAAATCTGGTGATCGTATGACCATCACGGTGCCTTCACTTTTGATACCTGGAAAGCAAAGTGAGGAGAAGATTCTAGAAGCCACCAAGAAGATCACTGAGCTGCTATCTAGTGAGGTGAGCGGTGCTGGGAATTCTGGGACATTCTCTAGTAACAGACAAGGGATGTGTCTGGATGGTGACTGTATCATTGTGTGTGTCAGGTTCCTATAAGGTGTCAGGATGTCACTGTCTATTTCTCCATGGAGGAGTGGGAGTATTTGGAAGGACACAAGGACCTCTACAAGGACGTCATGATGGACAATCAGCCGCCCCTCATATCACTGGGTAAGAGGAGACTTTATTTTAAAGGAGAGAGTGGTACGGAGGGTCCACCTAGATCCCCCATCATCTGATAAACACATAGAAACAATGGATTCAGTCAGTGTGTGTGTTTCCTACAGATGGATCCAGTAATGGGAACCCACCAGAGAGATGTCCCTGTCCTCTGTATTCCCGGGATTCCACACAGGAAGATCACACCATCCCATGCCAATATCAGGTAGGCAAAACTAAAGGTCTCCCCATTGGAGTGCCAATGTGGAGGAGCTCATGTTCCATAATAGTAATTCTCCCTTTGAAGCAACATTTTCAAATGAAAGAAGGCTAAACTCAGCTGTCTCCTTCTAGGGTGAAATCCTTATAAATATTAAAGAAGAAGACATAGAGGAAGAAGAGATAAATATGAAGGATGATGAGTCATGTATGGAGGAGGAACACCCTCCAGAGATCAGTACAGGTGAACAGTCAACACTAAATAGAGACATCATCCAGATTCTTTGTTCTGTCTTGACACCAGTCTGTTCTCTTTCCTCATCCTCAGTGGTGGCTTTTTTGTAAGGTCTCTTTTTTTGTAGTTGCATTTCTACTTCAGGAACCTCCAACAGAGTAATGGTAATACCCCATTATTTGGTATTGTAGGGAAATCCCTTTTAGTGTGGATGAAGTCATCCAACATAGTACATCTCCTAGCATTTGTCCCAGGAATCACGAATTTCCTTTTCTACATAATCGTATAATTTGTCTTCATTCTTGGATGTCCTCAACATTTTTCCTTTCAGACATTGTCCGATGTCAATAATAGAAAGACTGCCTTGTCCATAGTTCGAACCTTTTGTTCCGCAGATGATCTTTGGTTATTTTTGGGTAACTTGTGAGAAATTCTATAAGTGGAAATGATCCTTTTCCATAAGGGTTTTAGTTCCTTTTTATAGCCTCTCAGAAAATGGGATGTCCTCAACATTTTTCCTTTGAGACATTGTCCAAAGTCAGTGCCAGAAAGACTGCCTTGTCCATAGTGCGAGCCTTCTGTTCCTCAGGCTCTAGTTATTTTGGGGTACCTTGTGGGACTTTCCTCAAATGGAAATGAGCCTTTGCCATAAGGGTTTTAGTTCCTTTTTATAGCCTCTCAGAAAATGGGATGTCCTCAACATTTTTCCTCTGAGACATTGTCCAAAGTCAGTGCCAGAAAGACTGCCTTGTCCATAGTACGAGCCTTCTGTTCCTCAGACGGGCTCTAGTTATTTTGGGGTATCTTGTGGGACTTTCCTCAAATGGAAATGAGCCTCTGCCATAAGGTTTTTAGTTCCCTTTTATATAGCTTTTCAGGCCCTTGGACCTCCATCTTGCCGTAGATGTGGTTGAGGAAGGCAGTTTATGTTACAGTCCTTAAGCCAGAAGAACTCTATTGACCAACAGAATGATGACTACACAGCTCGGTGATTTCTATTTCAAAGTTTGTAAGAAGGCCAGATAAAGGCTAGCAAAGGGCACTGCTTTAGATCAGCCTATCTCAACCGTTTCAACACAGATGAACCCTTGAAATAACTTTCTGATCCCAGGGAACCCTTGCTAATAATGACTATATCTACAATTCCTAATACATTAGTGTGATGGTCAATGGGAAGAATGTCCCCTACTCTTGTGGGAATTGGGAAGAATTACCCCCTAACAGATAAACAGATCAATGGTGTTAGTGGGAACTTATCTGAGAGGCAGAAGTTCCTTTTCGCTTAAGGAACTCCTAGCCTCTGGAGGAACCTCAAGGTTTCATGGAACCCTGGTTAAGAAACCCTGCTTTAGATTGCAGAGTTGGAGTCCTAAGAGTAATAATTCTTCGAACCTCAGTTTTCGAGCCAAATGGGCAAGTTAAACCAAAATTGATATTTCAGATTCAGATGAAGTCTGGTGGGCACCATGCCTTGGGCTTCTTTATATCTCTTAGTTCACGGTACTGTCCCTTTCTACTTTGGAGTTTTCTGTGATCTTGTCCTTAATCTAATGAAGAGGTTTACCTTGTTCTCAACCTCAAGTGTTCTCAAATGTTAAATATTGCCAAGGTTTAGTTTAATCAATGGCAGTGCCACCAAGGGTTACCAACATCTAGTGAATCCACGTCTACAGGAGCTTGTGGAGTAAATAGGTCTACTTTGTATATTAAACTTCGAGTAAAGCCATCTGAGATGTGACCAGGGGTGGACTGACCATTTGGGAACTCGGGCACTGCCCGAGGGCCTGGGGTCAGAAGGGGGCCCCATGAGATGCCCCTGGTACCGTTCATAGACTTTTTTTGGGTGTGGTTTGAGTATGGGCAAGGACACAGGAGTCCCATGATCCCCTATTGCCCGGGGGCCCCATGAGTTGTCAGTCCGTCCCTGGATGTGACATACTTATAATAGACTTCTAACCTAGATAGGTGGCTTGTTGCTCAAATGTTCTGTGCTCCAAACCATAAGTATTTCTCAGCAGAATATCTTTGTCCTCATATATATTGTGTTCACCCCCAGCAGATGGACACATTGTCAGGAAAACCATGGTTGAACCCCTTATTTCATCTCCACATTGTGACCTAGAAGTTACCAGCCTCAGGCAAGACTCTACAATGGAAAATATGGAAGATATTCTTCCAGGACTTCTTGGACATCAAGATCCTGAGGGTTCTTCAACCAGAAATCCAGACACTACTTTCAAACACAACCAGCCAGAACATTCCAGTGGCAGTGGAACCCCCGAACCTTCTAGCCCTGATGAGGCTCCTCCAGACACTACAGATGCAATGACACTTCATACAGCATATACAGATAAAAACAGAATATATCCATGTTCCGAATGCGGGAAGACTTTTGTTCTACAGCACATCTTTGGTGGACCTCAAAGGACGAGCACAGCCGTTGAGCCGTTTACTTGCTGCGAGTGTCAGAAACTCCTCTCGCTAAAGCCGGAGCTCGGTCAGCTTAGGGAGGGTAACAGCAAGGCGAAGAGATTTGCCTGCTCTGAGTGCGGGAAACGCTTCAGCCGAAGGTGCTACCTGTTCCACCACGAGAGCATTCATGCCGGGAACTGTGAGAACCAGTGCTCTGAGTGCGGTAAATGCTTTACCAACAAGTCCAACCTCGTTGTGCACTACAGGTCACACACCGGTGAGAAGCCGTACCCATGCACCGAGTGTGAGAAGCGTTTTACCCACCGCTCGACTCTCGTCAAGCACCTCAGGATCCACACCGGCGAGCGGCCCTACTCCTGCCTCTATTGCGGCAAGGGTTTTGCACAGAAGTCCGGTATTGATAGACATCAGAGAATTCATATGAAAGAAGTCAGTACAATAATTATATAAGTTTTGATACATCTTCATGGGTGGAACGTGACCTCCCCAAGTGTAGGTTTTGAGGTATCTGCACCGTGCATGAACCCAGTCTTCAGTCTTGGTTTATCACACCCAATATGGCGGCCAGGTAGGTACAATACCCACCAGGGATGCGGTCTACGGGTTGGCAGGCAGGACTTCAGTGTGTAGTCTTCCAACCCAACCCAGAGTCTCCTCATTGTTGGTCCATCATCTCATGACGGTTGCACAAAGGAGGCTGTTTTGTTTGGGATTGGAGGCAGAAAGGAGAGTTGAGATCCCTCTAGAGCTCAGTGTAGATCTCTGTGTAATAAATCTCATGTAGAATATTGTATATTGTGTGCTGTGACCACCATCTGATGGAATAAAATCTAATGTTATCAGCTATGTCTACTATACGTGGTGCCCCGAGCCGCTAAATGTTCCCTCAACAGCCTCTCTCCAGAGTCACAGCGATTCTCCTAAACTCCATTATATGTACGTGTGAATTTCCTGCTTTGTACACCTGCTGTGCCCATTATGAGGGGGTCCCACCATCCCTGTGCTGAGTTCCTGGGTTTGTACACTTGCTGTGCCCATTATGAGAGGTTCCCACCATCCCTGTGCTGAGTTCCTGGGTTTGTACACTTGCTGTGCCCATTATGAGTGATTCCCACCATCCCTGTGATGAGTTCCTGGGTCTGTACACCTGCTCTGCCCATTATGAGGGGTTCCCACCATCCCTGTGAGTTCCCGGGTCTGTACGCCCGGTGTGCCCATTATGAGGGATTCCCAGCATCCCTGTGCTGAGTTCCCGGGTCTGTACACCCGCTGTGCCCATTATGAGGGGTTCCCACCATCCCTGTGCTGAGTTCCCTGGTCTGTACACCTGCTGTGCCCATTATGAGGGGTTCCCACCATCCCTGTGCTGAGTTCCCGGGTCTGTACGCTGGCTGTGCCCATTATGAAGGGTTCCCACCATCCCTGTGATGAGTTCCCGGGTCTGTACGCTGGCTGTGCCCATTATGAGGGGTTCCCACCATCCCTGTGCTGAGTTCCTGGGTTTGTACACCTGCTGTGCCCCTTATGAGGGGTTCCCACCATCCCTGTGCCAAGTTCCCAGGTCTGTACACCTGCTGTGCCCCTTATGAGGGGTTCCCACCATCCCTGTGCCAAGGTGCCCATTATGAGGGGTTCCCACCATCCCTGTGCCAAGTTCCCGGGTCTGTACACCCGCTATGGCCATTACGAGGGGTTCCCACCATCCCTGTGCCGAGTTCCCGGGTCTGTACACCCACTGTGCCCATTATGAGGGGTTCCCACCATCCCTGTTCTGAATTCCCGGGTCTGTACACCCACTGTGCCCATTATGAGGGGTTCCCACCATCCCTGTGCTGAGTTCCTGGGTTTGTACACTTGCTGTGCTCAATATGCGGGACTCCCACTATCTCTATTGGAATTATTTTGTGTCTTATAGTATGAAGTATGTATCAGGAGGAGCCGGAAACACATAGAGGTAGATGGGAAAAGAGCCAGGATTAAAGAAGTATTAACCCCAAAAGCAAACATTTATTGTATTGCACACACAGCAGACAGGAACAGAGCTGAGGCTGGCAATCACTGGCTGTGTGCTGGAGCTCCCTCCCCTGTCATCTTTTTTTTTTTTTCTTTACCTCTTGGTGTCAGGAAAACTTGTCAGAAGGGATTCTTGGCAGATTGAATAGATCCATGTGTTCTCGTTTCACAAGGTGCTCAACTCATAAGAAACATTGTCAGCAGGTGGAGCTCAAGGCTCATTTCCCTCTTGGAAAAGTCAATTGTTTATATACCTCAATAGCTCAAGCTGACTTTTACACACAGATCCGAGTGACTCTGAACATCGACTTCTTGCCAAACCTTTGGACGGCTCGAGAGAGATTCAAATGTCCCACATCACGTGAGCGTCACCCCCATAATGTCAGAGGTCCCACTATCACGTAAGCGTCACACCCATAATGTCAGAGGTCCCACCATCACATGAGTCACCCCATAATGTCAGAGGTCCCACTATCACGTGAGCATCACCCCCATAATGTCAGAGGTCCCACTATCACGTGAGCATCACCCCCATAATGTCAGAGGTCCCACTATCACGTAAGCGTCACACCCATAATGTCAGAGGTCCCACCATCACATGAGTCACCCCATAATGTCAGAGGTCCCACTATCACGTGAGCATCACCCCCATAATGTCAGAGGTCCCACTATCACGTAAGCGTCGCCCCCATAATGTCAGAGGTCCCACCATCACGTGAGTCACCCCCATAATGTCAGAGGTCCTGCCATCATGTAAGAGTCACCCCCATATTGTCAGAGGTTCCACTATTACGTGAGAATCACCCTCATAATGTCAGAAGTCCCGCTATCACATGAGTCACCCCCATAATGTCAGAGGTCCCACAATCATGTGAGAGTCACCCCCATAATGTCAGAGGTCCCACTATCATGTGAGAGTCACCCCCATAATGTCAGAGGTCCCACCATCATGTAAGAGTCACCTCCATAATATCAGAGGTCCCGCCATCACGTAAGTCACCCCCATAATGTCAAAGGTCCCGCTATCATATAAGTCACCCCCATAATGTCAGAGGTCCCACCATCACGTGAGTCACCCCCATAATGTCAGAGGTCCCACCATCATGTAAGAGTCACCCCCTTATTGTCAGAGGTCCCGCTATCAGGTGAAAGTCACCCCCATAATGTTAGAGGTCCCACCATCATGTGAGAGTCAACCCCATAATGTCAGGTCCGGCTATCACATAAGTCACCCCCATATTGTCAAAGGTCCGGCTATCACTTGAAAGTCACCCCCATAATGTCAGAGGTCCCACTATCATGTAAGAGTCACCTCCATAATGTCAGAGGTCCCACTATCACGTAAGAGTTACCCCAATATTGTCAGAAGTCCCAGCATCACGTGAGAGTTATCCCCATATTGTCAGAGGTCCCACCATCATGTAAGAGTTACCCCCATATTGTCAGAGGTCTCACTATCACGTAAGATTTACCCCCATAATGTCAGAGGTCCCACCATCATGTGAGAATCACCCCCATAATGTCAGAGGTCCCAGTATCATGTGAGAGTCAACCCCATAATGTCAGAGGTCCCATTATCACGTGAGAGTCACCCCCATAATGTCAGAGGTCCTGCTATCATGTGAGAGTCACCCCTATAATGTCAAAGGTTCCTTCATCATGTGAGAGTCCCCCCCATACTGTCAGAGGTCCTACCATCACGTCAGAGTCCTTCATATATGTCACAGTCCCCCCCTATATGTCATAAAAAGCTTCCCATTATATCTTTTGGGTTTGACACCCAGCAGAAGATTAAGTATTTGGCTGGATGGATCTAGACGTTGCTTGAACCAACTCGTGTCAGTCTAGAGCAGTGGTCTCTAAACTGCAGCCCTTGGGGGACTTCTTCTCCCACAGATACAAGACACTATATCTCCCACTGACACCAACAATGGGGCATAATTCCTGCTACTGACATCAGCAAGGAGGCACTATTTCACCTATTGACACCAATGATGGGGCACTATTCCTCATACTATTACCAAGCATAGGACACTAATCCTCCCAATGACACCAATGATGGGGCACTATTCCTCCCACTGACACCAGTGATGGGGCTTTTTTCCTCCCACTGACACCAATCATTGGGGCACTATTCCTCCCACTGATACCAGTGATGGGGCACTATTCCTCGAACTGGCACCAGTGATGGGGCACTATTCCTCCCACTGACACCAGTGATGGGGCACTTTTCCTCCCACTGACACCAATCATTGGGGCACTATTCCTCCCACTGATTCCAATGATGGGGCACAATTCCTTCCACTATTACCAAGCATAGGACACTATTCCTCCCACTTTTACCAATCATAGGACATTATTCCTCCCAGACATTAGTGATGGGGCACTATTCCTCCCACTGACACCAGTGATGGGCACTATTTCTCCCACTGACATCAATGATGGGACAGTATTCCTCCCACTGACACCAATGATGGGACAGTATTCCTCCCACTGACACCAATGATGGGACAGTATTCCTCCCACTGACACCAATGAAAGGACACAATTCCTCCCACTGATACCAAGGATGGGGCACTAATCTTCCCACTGACACCAATGATGGGGCACTATTTATTCCACTGGTACCAATGATGGGGCACGATTCCTCCCACTGATACCAATGATGGGGCACTATTTATTCCACTTGTACCAATTATGGGGCACGATTTCTTCCACTGACACCAATGATGGGGCACTATTCCCACTGTCACCAATGACGAGGCACTATTGTTGCCACTGACACCAATGATAAAGCACTATTGCTTCCACTATTACCAAGCATAGGACACTATTCCTCCCTTTGACACCAACGACAGGGTGCTTTTCCTCCCCCTAATACCAAAGAAGCATTGTTTACTCCCACTGACACCAGGACAATTTCTACTTCCACTGGCCACAGTCCAGCCCCCCCTAAAGTCTGAAGGACAGTAAACTGGCCCTTTGTTTAGAAATTTTGGAGACCCCGGGTCTAGAGGCACACATTTGACATGATTACCACAACACACCCTGCTCCACTAAATGGAGTAACCCTTTAATACTTTGCGCCATTATTTGTGATGTTGCAGGAACCTATATAGGGTTTGTAGTGAGTGTACCCATATGTCAGTACTTTGGATGGAAACGTCAACTGGCTTATCTAGACCAAGGTACCAGCTCTGTCTTGTGAGAGAACGTGTTTTCTCCTAAAACTTTTTTGATGGGGCATCCAAAATATATAATTACGGAGGTATACACGTTTATAGAAGCAATGGACTTCAGTTATTATGGTCCTGTTGTGAGATTCAAAGATCATACATCTTTTTTTTCGGTAACTATGACATTTGGTCAAAAGAGCCAATTGCCATGGTAGGCAAAATTGTGCAAGAATAAACTTTAGCTCACGGGGGCCAACACAA